AAATGAAAATGGAGATGTAATGATGGTGACATGTATAAATATTTGAGTTAAAATACTTAAGGTAATATGAATTATGTTTGTTGACTATGGAAGAGATGCATGTAAATCTTTCTGTAACCAACTGATACACTTTCTATAGTATGTAAAGAAGGATGCTGTATTTGTTTTAAATTAAAAATTAAAAAAAATATTTAAAAAAGAAAAGAAAAATAAGGTGATGGAGTTGGACATTTCAAAGATGGTACCTATGGCATAACGCCAGTCACTGGAGATGAAGGAGAAGGAAAAGAGGTCAAAATTGGTGATCTGTTGCAGTCAGCCACTTCGGTGAATCAAAATTTTGAATTATGTAAGACATAAAATGCATTCAAACCTCCATAACTGATTTTCCTGGTGTCAAGAGCTCTCCAGGAGTCACTGGCAGTACCAGTGTATTTGGCTTGGAATGAGAGGGGGGATATGTAATACAATAGAATATCAATGCTACTTCCATCAGCAATACAGCAAAACTACCCATGTGTAGTTTTGTTAAGGGTCATAGCATGAAACACTTTGTGATCTATAAAACTTTAAGAAGCAGAGATCTGCCAATGAACACAAAGCCAATGGAAGTGGCACAAAGAATGTTCCAGTTGGTAGGAAGCTTACTTTTACAATGTGTATATTCTCCCCCTCCCTCTCAAAAGACAGGACCTGAGGTCATTGGCTAAGAGAACTTTGGCAAAACGTACCATATTGAAGTAAAAATGTTAGGAAAAAGGAGATGCAATGGTAGTAGAAAGAAAAAGAGAAGACAAGATAGAAACCAATAAACAGGAAAACACGATCAAAAATGAACAAAAGGCAATAGAGATGGAGATTATTTCTCATTATGTGCTGCTAGAGAAACAAAAGAAGGAACTAATTTGTTTGATACATCTCTTCATAGTGTTATGCATTTAGGGAGTGCAATTCTGCCCCAGAGCTCAGCTTTAAAATATTGTGGACTGAAGATCCACAAAGCTGTTCTGACCCCCCTCGTCCTACACCAAAGCACGCCGAGACAAAGATACTTCAAGGATTTATTAACACACAGAC